ATCCGATTTACAGGAGTAGTGATCAAGATTGTGTGAGCATGATATCGTCTTGTCGTTGTGATCTCGAATCAGTTAGGCTTACATCAGCATTGATTGATGGTGCTGTTGAGACTGATTGTTGCTGCTGTTGTGGATGGTGCCAATGGATCAGATAAAACACCGCAGCAACCAGCAGTATCAAAGCGGCTACAATACCGGAAAACGTAATCAACAGTAATTTTGTCTTTTCTTCAAGTTTTTTTTCATTCTTAGGATGCTTTTCGTTTGCTGAGACAGAAAAGACAGTCGATAGAGGCAGACGGTTTGTCAGCATTGATACTGTTTTCGATGTTGCGACAACAACGCCTGAACGTACATAAAAAGCACTGTTCATTAATCTCAAGGTTTTTTATTGTGTGAGTATCCTAGTAAAAATCTCTGGCACTTCTTAAAATTATCTTACTAAGATCTTAATAAGATTCTACTGCAAATATGTTTAGACCTTTTTCGACCGTTGTTATTGTTTGTTGGGATGGTGATGCAAACACTGTTGTTTTTTCGTCAAATGTCGACGAGCCCATAGTGAATGCCATTGTNGTAGAACTCATTGAAGATTGAACATTAGCGCATAAATAGACTAAATGATGGTTTTAGTCAATTAAGAGCTCAACAATATATTAGCAAGATAGCTTGTGAAATACGGATGTCAACTCGTGTTGATCAAAATGCCATTGATATGACAACCACCTTTGAAAAGGATTATTAAGTATATCCTCTCGCGATGCGAAGAGTATCTATTTGACTCACTGTTCTGGTTCATTATAGTCACATATTGCACGTAGCTTATTGGTGTTATCCTTCGTGATATCGCAAAGCTGTTTATTTTTGTTCCAATAGTAATCACGAAAAGACGCTTGCTGTTTTTATCAGTTATTGCCAGTGCATGATATTGTTATGCGCTCGTTAGTGACGCACGTAAGCTTACGAGTGCTTACGAGCGCATTCTGATGTCAGTTCTGGTCTTCTGTCCGGGCATGGCGATGAATTTTAAGAAGAGTGTGGAATATGCAGCAATCAAAAATCTGTTTCTCAGCATATACCATTTACTTCTCTACATGAGTAACTATGTTTCTTGCAGCTGTTGTCCTTTATAGACATGCTTCACTGTCAGTGCTGACAGTGGAAAACTAACAGCGAAATTCGAGTGGTACCCGTAATTTTAATTTCCCTTAATCTAGAGATATTGTTGTGAATCAGAATCACTACTGTTAACAGGATATGTGTTCAACAGAAATGAAACTATCGACCGAGATTAATAAATTGGACATAAATCTGTTCATATGGTGAATCATGAAGCTGTGCCAAATGACGGTCTGAGTTTCTCCAAAAATTTATATATTTTCTGTGAAAATTTTTCTGAAACTCGAGAAAAAGTTCGGACGGAAGAAGCTAGGTTATTCGATGTTTGGGTAGATTTTATAAAACGGAACGAAAGAAATTTCATATGTTAAAAGAATGGAATACACCAGTATTAAATGTAAATATTTACGACTAGATGATTCTAATTTACAGGCGTAATGATGCGATGCGAATCCTTCTTTTCAAAGTTTAATATATTTCTCAGTAGCAATAAGAGAACATTGCGAGGGTCATAAATATATATTTTTTCTGATAATCTACTTCTAGTAGTAGTTTTAGATCAAGCACTAAATGAATTCTAGAAAAGTTTCATACAAATTACTGGATTAATTTTTCACTCATTAGTCTTATGTTTCAGACGATCTTGCTTGGGCCAGAAATCAATATGTTTTCGGGAGAAATAGTAGAAAAACAGCGCTGAAAAGAGTTCATGAAAGAACATCACCGAAATCGAAAAAATCTGACATAAAAAAACTGTGTCCACGTATATCCAAAAACTGTTTTCAGCAACCGTATTCAGCCTGTTTATCCCTTTGACAGCGATACTAATAAGAGTCGAAGTAACTGTCACTATAATTGTTAAGCTATATTTTCTTTTCAAAAATTTTGGCTCCTGGTGGACCAGAATCGAAGCTTTCAAAAACAGTTTTCGTGTAATCAGTTAAAAACTGGTTCTAGCAGACTATTTTTCATGGCTATTCAAACTTGAATTAGAAAACCGTTTGAAATGTTTAAAAACAATTTCGTCGTTCATTGACCGAGCTTCGTCATTTCTACATCAGTTCCGTTTACTTTGACCAGTAGTTATGAGTACACAATAATACAAGTTGGAAAACACAGTTACAGAAATGTAAGGTGAGTGAAATATTCGGTCGCGCACCCATACATCAAAAGCGACCCAGAACAGGGGTATACGCTAGATATTTTGAGTTTGGGTGACTTTCATGAAAAAAACTTCCATTAAAGCGTTTCTGTTCAATGAAAGTACCGAAACTTTCATTAAACATATTTAACAGGAGTTTCATTAAATATTTTTGATAGCACAAGAATTTCATCAAAAATTTAGCAAAAGATGCTTGTCTCAGTTCGTATATGTTCGCTTAGCGATACATACATATTTTCCGCTCAAATACACCTATTTTCGGATCTTTAACTTATTTTCTGTTCACCGAACTTTCATTAAAATGTCTACTGCAGAATGACTGTGACCTAGAGTTTCATTAAAAATTTTAATGAACTTCATTTTAATGGAACTCCAATATCCCGATATTTTCAGGAATGGTTGTGGCTGTGCTTAGAACGAAATGCGAAAATCGCTTAGCACGACGAGGTAACCTTATGTACTGCTTTTTGTATATGTAGCATGCCTCAGTTGGATACGCTGCCCAAAACACTGTTATTCTACGGTTACACGAAGAATTTACTTTTGTCTTTCTCCCACATGTCGACTGATCAAGAATGTCCTTTAGAAAAATAGAAGACGAACTTTCTACTCTTTATGATCCATATACTAAAAATCGCATAAAAATCGTGAAAAATCATTCGCTTATTCGTGCGCATAATCGCGATTAGTTGTCGATTTTTTGGTGATTTTAGCGATTAATCACGATTAATTGACGATTTTTTTCGGGATAATAAGTTCGAACCCATCTTAGGAAATACATATTTTTTTCTGTTTTTTTCATTGTTAATTATGTATAATGACATGTACGTCACCCAGCAAGAGTCTTAGCACCAGCTGAAGTCGGAGCCTTTCTGAAAATGACCATAGCACGACGAGTATAACCATCTAATCGCTTAAAATCAACAATTAATCGCAGTTAATTGGCGATTTTAAAAAAAGAGAAAAATCACCGGAATCGCCAATTAATCGCGATTAATTGTTAAAAATACCGCGATTTCGTCGACGTGGGGAGTAACGTTATTTGAACCAGAGTCCAGCGAATTAGGATACATTCAATTCACCGAGCTCTATAATACATCTAAAAATCAGTCATTTCAAAAAAATCTTACTGCTGAGTTCATATATCGCTTTCTCAGCAACTTACTCATGCTTATCTTGAATAAAATGGCAGCTATCAAACATGGCTTGTAGCATTTCTTTTGCCGACGAATAGATCCATCCGTAGTAATCTTCTTTGGATATATACTGTAGATGTTCGTTGACACGTAAGAAATCCGACGTAAAGAAATACTTGTTCGGATTTTCGCGAATGGCATGTGCAAAACTGTGCAATGTACGCTGGAGCCAGACATCGTCGTCATCGTAAAAAAAAGATTATGCTCTTTTAAAAAGATCCAGAACCAAGAAAATGATCTTAAATAATCCATCTATGAACGCGCTTAAAATGACTTATTAGTGGCTATAAATGATGTTATTGTGATGGGTGTGGTGTGTGAATTACAGCATGTTTTGCGCGCCTCCGAAAAAATCGGACATCTGACTCATCAGCGATCAGGGTGACAGAAACGATCAAATTATGATCCTAATATAATCACTCTTGTATTGCCATTTTCTGATCAGCTTTTTTATTTCTGGATTATTTCCGATCATTCCATCGGCCATTTCTGAACTAGACAAAAAATGATCATAAAAGGATCTCTTAAATGATCGAGAAGGAATACGAAAGGACGCTAAACAGATCATAAGTTCTCCACTTCCAGCGACAAGGGCTCCATCACGAATTTATGCTGACCAGGTTCAGGCTTGTTCGACACTTCTTCAGTAAGACAAACGCTAAACACCAGTGCTTAGTGTTTTTCTCGCCAGTAACAGTTTTTCAAGAAACTTACGCATTACGTTTGATACAGAATTCAATCCAAGAACTTTTTCCAGCTCCAATTCTCTGCGAAGCTTCTATGACGAATAACGCCGAATTATTCATTTCTCAAAATAAAGTTTGTGACTTTTCTCACCTGCGAACTCCAAAGGACAGAAAATATCGGACGTTAGGAAGGCGGAGCAGTAAAACGGAGATCGCTCTACTTCAATCATTGTTCGATGCACTGTCTCGCCATTTTGTATTTTGCTTATGTGTGACCTATCGAAAAGGACTGTTTGTCAACCTGACCACAAGCGACATAAAAATAGTCGATAAATAATCAGAGAATAATGTGAAAAAGAGCTTTCTCAATGAGTAGTGAAATATCCTAAGTTGGTTTGTGCCCATGGTGCTTTGTTGCTGAGATACTGGATTTTTAGTCAGTTTTTGCCTATAGAGCTTGGATTTCAAGAAAAATTCGACTTTCGAATTTTGATTTCAAACTTGCCACATTTGTAGCCCATAGTCATAGCGGTACGACGGAAAAATATCCGACGCTAATGAATTTTCCTGCCTTGAGATATTGAGATTCGAATATTTAACCCTTACCCTTACCTTCTGGTGAAAAGGTTCCCTCGTTAGAAATGCCACCGTCTACATCTTGAAAAAATAATAAGTATCAGGTCTTTGAAAAAGGATCCTGAATGGTCTATGAGTCATCGGCTTTAAATGGATCCTAAACTGATCATTTTTAGATCATTATATGTTTTGGCTCCGGTGTGCTTGTCTAAAGTCGATAAACAGACTCACCAGTACACAAATAAATTGTCCTTGTGCTTGTCGAATACATATATTCCGTACTTGGGATGGTGGCACTTTATGTTCGGATCTAATATAGATAATATTTTCGGTCAATTCACCCTTTCGTTTATCTTTGGTCGCTCTGACGATTTTTCGATCTTTCGTCGCCTCTTTGTTATCACCCTGATCTTGGATATAGAGAATATTTTTCATTGGTAGATTGATTTCAAAATATTCTTTGGTACGGTCAGTTGAACCACAATCATGAATAACATGCTCAAATTTGACTAAAACGATAAAATGTTCGTGTTGAAGAATAAAATAGAAGACAATAAAGAACATACTTGACAATGGTATAACACATTGACTTGTACACTCATGATAACCACTTTTAAATATTCCAAACGATTGTGTGACAGTGTGACAACTGAAATAAAGATTGAATGACTGCTCATTTTTGGTAGTTTAATTTCTGATCACAAATCCAGAATTGGAATAGATAAGTTGACAGATTACGTATACCAAACAATCGAACTGTATATGTACTGATGAGTTTTTCTTCTGAAGAACGAAAACCGCTTGTCATTGTCTTATAGTTTTGATTTATGGAAAAATAGGATATACATACAGCCGATGTTTTCTTAATGCATTTTCGAAATATCATTTGGTAACTACGGCAAGTGAAACTTTTTCGAACTTGTCAAGAAAACATTTTCTTTTTGAGAGGAAATGGTCTTTTCCCAGCGCAAGTAGCTAAAACGTCTATAAAAACTATTGTGATTCATAACACTGTAAAACACAAAATCGTGTATTAGAAATCTTCTACACTTTGATAAAATGAATCATGATCAGACTATAACAATGTGTATTATCTCACAAAAAATAAAGTTATGTTTCCTTTTTTTGTAGTTGTGTTGAATGCACTCTGACTACCGATAAGAGAGAGAGTATACTATAGTAAGCTGTGCTGGTAATATGGTATTTCTTTTATACACTGCGACAGCGTGTGGTATACGTAAATAGAACGAAGAAAATAATGGTCACTGGTTAGAATGACTTCTGCGTTCTTTTTAGAAAAAGACGAAGGAAGCTAAATTAGATTTTAATCGCGCTAGGCACGAAGCTACGTGATCGACAGATTCTCACTCAACTGGTAAAAGTGAGACTCCTGATATATGTTAGCCGTAACTTACAGAGGGAAGTCCACCGACTTGAAAATCGTTTGCGGGCCAAAATCCAGTGGGTCATAGATTATCGACGGTCCTGAATCTAAATATCAACATGAGACAGGCTGCTACGCCTCCAGAAACCTCAAAAAATCCACAAAACTTTTTCTGAATAAGTCATGATTATAGCCCGTGAAATTAAGATCAAAATGAGACATCTCCCAGCTCTACATGACCTTTCTTTGCAAAGTTATACAATTTACAAGAAAAGGCCTAAATGTTCATTGTCACCTCAGAGCCACAGAAAGAACAAGGAAAAAAGAATTTAGGGCTCATCCTGCGAATTGTATAATTTGCAAAGAAAGGTCGTGTGGAGCTGGGAGATGTCTCATTTTAATCTTGATTTCACAGGCTACAATCATGACTTATTCAGAAAACGTTTTGTGGATTTTTTGAGGTTTCTGGAGACCCAGCAGCCCGTCTCATGTTGATATTCGGATTCAGGACCGTCGATAACCTGTGACCCACTGGATTTTGGCACATTTTAAATAACATATTCAAATTCAGCGTCGAAAGGCGAACATTTAGAAAAAAAATCAAGGCTTCAACTCAAAATTTTAAAATTTCAATTTTTCATTTTAATTTAAAATATAAGTCAGCTTAAAATATATTTCAGCTTTTTTTAAAATGAATGTAGCTCAGCTCAGCTAAGAGATGGAGATTCAGTTCAACCCTGGTTGAATAGAGAACTAAAAACTGAACAAAGGTAGGGATTTGGCGAGATTCCAGTACCACGTGTTCAAGGTTTTCTAGGAGATCTTCGGAAAACCTCCTTTTAATTCCACTTTAATTTCTCTAGTTTTGTTGAAGTTAAAACTTTTTTGCCGAACTTTTTCGAAGCACTAATGGCCAAAAACAATCGAAATAAGATATTTCAACATTAGCGATGATGTTAGCTGCTATATGAACGATATTCACCTTCATGTACTTCACTGCTATAGGTCAAGATGATCTTTTTTTCTCTTTTGACTTATCACGGAACCACCCGTGGCGGTAAATCGCATTTTGATCGAAATTTAGTGGGTTATAGGTTATCTTTTGGAGTAGATATAAGCATCAGCGCAAATGCCGTAAAAAGTAGAGCCCTGTGTACAATATAGGTATGCACCAGTACTAGTATTTATACTGGTATACTGGGCCAGTATTTACTGGGTACCCAAATAGTTTAGTCAGCCAGCATACTGGGTACCCACATAGTCTGGGCATTGTAGCAGAAATATTTGGTACTTAGACAAAGAGATATCATTAAATGCGGGTATTTGTAGATTAATATGTTTCTAGGCCTTACAGAAATTATGTTCTTATGCTATACGAAATGTAGAAGGGCATCTAATACCTAAACTGAATTTTATAAAATAACATAACTACTTACTTTCTTTCACATCGTCAAATAGTTTTCGATAAATAACTGTTATAGTTATTTACTTTGAACTCGTAGTACTTAATCTAAGCAGTTTGTCAGGCCTTTTCATTCAGCTTCTTCTATTATCTTGTTCCCTTTTGATAGCATTGTTTTCCATTTTCCAAATTTGTGCCACAGTGGCATACACCCGTACCAGTATACTGGGTGACCAGATTATTTGGAGGCAAACTATTTCGATACTCAGTATACTGGGTGACCCAACTATTTGGGCACCCAATATACTGGTACCGGTGCATACTTAGTACAATATGTGTTTTTCTCACTATGCGTTTTTTCGATAGTCCTTTCAATCGGGTCACATTATGACCCCTCGAAAAAATGATTCGATCGAGCTGAAATTTTTGCCTACCACAGATCAGACCCTATCTCAGATTCGCTTTATTTTAACTGTTTTTTGATCCCCAATTTGATCTCGTTCCGCAGACTTAAAAACCGATCCGAATCCGAACCCGTACGAATTTTTCGGAATCCTGATCCTGATTTTTCCAAACTGAAATCCGATCGACCCGAAAAATTTTTTTAGTAAAGTAGTGCCCATTTTTATGTCTGCAAGTGTTTATCTCTACACGTAGAGGTTTTGCTTCTTTCACAGCCAAGAAGCCGAGCCTCAATCAAAGTGATGGTAGTTTTAATGACAGTGAAAATTAAAAGACTTAAGAAAATACTTTTTTCTATTTCTGTTTTATGACAAACATTTTGCAGGCTCAGAAACATTATCTCTTTTTTTGGTCCTTTAAAAAGTAGAAGTTACCTGGAAAAAGTAATACAACCTTTGAAGAAGAACCCCGATTCCGTTCCGATGAACTCACACCCGTCTCAGAACAAAAAGTTTTCGGGATCCCGATCTGGTTAAACCCGCAGGACTCTAGTAAAAAAAGAGGGAGAGAGGTACCGTTAATGCAAGCAACGAAGGAGAGAGAAACAAAAAGAAACAATAAGAAAATCAGCTGTATATAAGCACACTGATGTGTGTTTCCATCCTTTTTGTTCATGTGTATGTGGCTATTTTGCGATTATAGCATATATATTTCCTTGTTGTAGTAATTGTAAACTTCAGGAAGTTATCTAAAAGTGAATACTAGGTTACTCTTAATTTTGATTTAATTATCTCTCTTTTATGAACTGTAACAGTTTTTAACCGTAACTGATGCATAACTAGTTAATGCATGATTCCCGCATAAGCCCTTATTTGTGTAATAAACTGCATACAATAGCCGAAGATTTCTGCAGAGAAGGCTACACTACGCGCATAAATGTATGCTGCCGCTCTTCCAATCCTGCCTCAGTTTTCATATAATAAAAATTCCTATAGAATGTTTTTATAAAGGTTTTTGAAGATGTCCTGAAAAGTTTCGTAGATCTGTTTACATTTCAAGTTTTTCATTTTTTCGCGATTAGAAAAAAAACAATGTAATTATCTGTAGTTCATCTAAAATTTTCGTAGGACTGTGCTGATTTTTTTGTTCTTTTTTCGGGATGACGAGCGAGATGAAAAAATCAAAACAATGCGATAGAACACGGACAAGAAAAGTGACTTTTAATTTACCCATATGTAATCTTCCGTGAAATTGCCATGCGAAGCACATGTTATCAGCCTTTTCGCTATGAAGGCTGTTTTTGTAGTTGTTAAGAAAATGTATCAGCGAGATTTTATTTCAGATTTATATTTATTATTAAAAGCGCTATATTTTCAATCTATAAAATCGTTATCAGAGGAAACAAAAATATCAACTGTCAGACAATTACAATTATTCAGTTCCAACAATCAAAAAGAAAACGCAAATGGTATCATGCTTCCTCAACCACGATACATTCTAATGGTTGAGTACCGACATTTGTCATGTTATTTGGTAACGCAACCAATTGATTGTGAACTTTCTCAATGCTGAGACTGTTCATGATTTTCTTGTTTCATAATAGTCAGATTGTGGTGCTGCAGTTTCTAACGTTCACGATCCGAAATGAATATTGCTTCGTGTATTCCGAAATTTTTCCCATTCCCAATGATCTAACAAGAGCACAATAATTATGTGCGAGACGACACAATGTTCATAAAAGTTATTGTGGATTTTGCTGATTTACTAAAAATGATATTGCCGTAGTTGGGTCTTAATCCTACCCTACCGTCTCGTGTACAACAATATATGATTAGAGCAAAAATTCAAAAGCGTCAACAAGTCCCAACAATGGCGGCAGTGTTCTGCCGCCGATAGCAACCAATAGTTGCGGTTGATCGACCTCAGCCGATCATTATTCCGGACAGCATTTTTAAGCCGTTTACTTCTTTTCTTCTGATATGTTTTGGTCAACAGTTTTTGAATTATACTTGTCTTTTCACCAGACATGTAAAATGACTAAATACCAGACAACTGAGAATTGAACACTTTTTCAAATAAATCTGTAGACAAACCCTAACCATGTTCGAGAGCACGTTGAGGCAATTGAAACAAGAACACTAAATAGTTTTGTATTAAGTGTATCGTTAGTGCGGTTACAGTCGTCAGTGTGCTGCACAACTTTTTCTGGCCAACTAGTTTGTACTACAAAAAACTTTTTTTAGGATTGAGAATTTTAAAAAATTGAAAATTTAAGATTTTAAAAACCGAGAGGAAATCTCAAATCCAGTGAGTTTGAGAGCTATGAAAGCCTTTTATTCTGATTCTAGGTGAAAAACTACATCTAAAAAAATAGTTTCGATGTCATTTAAATATCGTATAAATAATGTATAAACTGCATCATGCGTTTTTTCTGTTCAAACTAGGAACACCCGATCCATATTAGAGTAGATGTAAATAGTACTTTCATTTCTTGCTAGTGCTTTGATTTCTGAATAGAACAACCGTTTTTTGCAAGCCGCAAGGGATTAGAAGCGTCCAGCTAGGTGCTCAGAGGCGAAACGCGTCTTAAGAAATCTGTGGCCATGAAAAATTGGTGGAGTCTTCACTGGATTCTGTAGTGTATTCCAATAGTATAAAGGAGACTTAGTCACAGGTTCTAGTGTCAAATATTTGTGCTGGAAGATTAAGGTCTAAAGAAGGAACGGACATCGTTTCTGTTGATGTGTTTTTACACTTTTAGATCTATTTATATAGGTCTAAAAGTGTAAAAACACAGTAGAAAAGTTTTCAGAATCAAATTCTAGAATTCCTCATCAGAGTTTTTTTCAAAATTTTATTTGTTTGGCTTCAAAATTCAGAAGTATAGAATATTAAAATTTAATTTAAGAACCAGAGAAAGAAACTTTTAAAAAAGCTCTGGTGAGGAATTTTAGAATTTGATTCTGAACAACTTTTCTACTCACAGTTTTGCTCAAAAGTGTTTAGGCGACCTTAGGTCTTGTCCTTAGATATATTATGATCAAAGTACGGTCACATTAACACACACAACTCTTCTATTTTGTCCAAGTCAAGAATTCGTGTGAAAGTAACATGATTTCTAGAATCTGGGAATGAACGTACTTAGTTTCTGAGGCTATGAGAAATTTGAATCTTAATGCTGAGTTTTATTTTAAATTAAACAAAACGCGCGAACGTATGTTTCGACTCAAGTTATGTTCAAAAAGCATACTCGACCCAAGCAAAGGTTTCCGTCTGTTACGAGGCCTTAGATCGAGATCTCGTCCGATCGCTCTGTACTTTTCACTACTAAGAGGTGAAAAGAGGTGAAGAGGTACCTCTTACAGTGAAAAGTACAGAGCGACCGGATACTACGTAGTATAGTAAGTTATACTAGAAGTTTCAGAGTAATCGAACGAAATCTTGATTTATAAGACGCCGTAACTGGCGGAAAACGGTAGACCTTTACGTGGGCAGGCTGTACTGTGTTTTTTTCTACTTGTTGGCTTCTGTGAATGCTTAGGGCTAATTTGTTTTCGAAAAGAATATGATTTCAAATAAATATTCACAAATACAACATTACATTCTCTAAGTAAAGTAAAAGTGAACAAATCAGCTTTGGATGGTTTTGCTTAAATAATTCGTTAAGATTCGATCATCATAAAAAAGAAAAACTATTAACTTCTCCAGAAACAAGAACTCTGACTATTGAGAAAATGCCTGATATGCCTTCTATTGGTATTGAAAGTAATCTTACTTTGAAGTCTAATAAGAAACAACATCAAAGATGAATTTAAAAATTAATAGGATAGTATCAGAAAGGATCTTGGAAAATTAGCTGAATGGATCGGATATACAAAAAGGAGGCATAAAATATCTCAGAAAAATAAATTTGTCTGTTTCTGCATAAAAGATCTCGGAAAAAGAGACTCTCCTCCATTCTATCGTTGTTACCCTTTCTTTCCTCGATCACTTCAACATTTAACAATCTTTTGCGACACCATCTGTATTTACACTGTGAGAAAAAAATAGCTATATGGTAAAATAAAATCAAAGAAGATGCTTACTTACAATATAACTGTAACAACGAGATCACAACGTGGTTAAGGCACATGTTTTCATCTTCGATCACCAATCATCCAGTCTTTTTTCTTTTTTTTGCGAGATCTTTTATGCAGAAACGAATAAATTATTTCCCGATATCTTTTGTCTTCTTTATATACGGGATCCATTCTGCTAATTTTCCGAGATCGTTTATTTTCTCGTTCAGTAAATATACAGTATCGTTTGGCATATAAAGGAAATGTTTTTATGAATAGGAAGTGACAGAAAACTGCATTAACATTTAGTGCAATTTATTTCATAGAACCAATAACAGTGTAGTCATGAGCGATCTCTTAGGAAGTACGAAAATGCCTGTATATTACAGTCGTTTTTAGAAGATTATGGTTTCAGAAGCCATTTTATTGACGGATTCTGGTATGAAACATATGCCGCTCATAAAGCTTATTTTTTAGATTGATCGATATTTTCTTTTCATCCTAACTATAGATACGATCAAGCTATGCTAAAAAATGATGTGAAAATGACAATTAATAACCAAAAAATGGCCAGTTAATTAACAATTAATGACTCATTAATGGCCATAAACGAGGCATTTTTTATCTCGTTGTCGTTGTCCTAAAAGTATGGCGTAATTATTTGTTGAAAGCGT